TTGTACACTCTAGGTATTATTAGCTCTTGATATAATATGACGAAATATGGATAAAATATGCGCAACTGCTTTACAGTAATATTAGAGGATCATATAATTTACCAAACCAGGAGGACAGTCTTTGTTCGAGTGTGCTATATTTGTACGTGTTCGACAGGGCGATAAGGAAAAGGCTGCTGGGCACAAGGTGATATCATTAATGGACCGATCAAAGTCAGACTCGATGCCCAGTGACCAGATCGGGTTCATTACATTCGTTTGCCTGCCAGGCTTCAGTACATTGTGCGAGCTCTTCCCAAACACTCTGCCTTTAATCGATGGACTCAAGTAAGTACTGTTAAATACTGCCTGCCTCTTGGGCAAATTTTGAAATTAGGTGGGTTTTGGTCAGGTCTTATTGCCAGATATTTTTTCAGTAGCATGGGCAATTTATATAATGGTTTCAAAGGAAGTATCATAGAACAAAGTTTATGTGAACATGCTCCATGTATAATGTAATAAATCGAGATGTTCATTAAATGTAAATGTGTTCATGTGTGTAAGCCCATAAACTAATTAAGCATTTTGTGAATGTAGAAAACATATTAACAGACATCTATAAGCATTGAATTCGCACTTGCAGTGAGAACCTCCATGCGTGGAACATAGTTAAGAGTGGGCAGCAGCCTCAGCTCTGGAATGTTGCTGCCTCCCACTGCAAATCCCAGTTCCCGGCAAAAGAAGATGCATCAACTAGCACAGCCACTTCAAAAAAAGACAATTTATAAATTTCTCTACTCCATGGAAGTTACTTGTTAGTGACAAGTACTCCAACGCCTAGAGTGCATATTATATTCAACGTTGTTATTGTTTGTTAAGCGATGTACGTAGTGGCTTCTACATTTTCCCTTGCACATCGCACAAGACCTCATCAAATCGGAACTGATCTCCGTGTATGTTTTGTTTGCTCATTACTTTTATACCTAGCTGTTCATCAATGCCTGTTACATTAAATCTGTTATGTTTAAATCTTGTTCCTAATTTGTTTTCTGTCAATTATAATTTACACCATCAAGTAATGAACCAGAACATTAATTTCACAAATTTATTTATTCACATTGAAAATGCACCGCACCAAAATAAGGAAAAAATACTTTTTACATTAGTTCACTAAGATAGGTATACTATCTTCACCCGATTTGTTGAGTGTGACAACCAGAAAATTCATTCACGCTGTCCAGTATGACATGATAAACAAATCTGCTTATAGTGTACTCTTGATATTATTAGGTGTCAGTTCCATTTTCTATGTTGTTCCAACTCTTCACTCACCTAAGTTACTCACATGTCATCTTATAACACATGACCAAGGATCCTATCGTTGTTACCTACCATGACTACAACTGACGTGGAGTGAGGTATCAAGGGCCTGCTACCGCTACATATGCTGGAATAAAGTTGTAGCCTTTAAATAAGTCTTATAGACATAACAGAACTTCATTGATAACTGTCAGTCATGGATAAATTAGTGTTTAGCTGTTTAGCTTGATTAGCTAGTAGCTATTCAACTATCACTTGAAGTGCTGTCATTCAAATGTTCATCAAGCTCGTCATCATCATGATCCTGTAGCTGTGGGCCGCCGTTCCTTAAAATGGATCCTGTAAAAGTGAACGTGGTTTTGGAGAGCCTATTTAACAGGACAACACATTTCCATTTAAAGTGAATTAAATTACTACGGATAGACTTATTGTCATACATTGATCTTGTAATATTTCATGTTTTTTTTTTAAACCAAACGTACTTCTTTGCCGTTCTGGAAGCTCTTTCATTTTTTTATCCAAAATCGTCTTCTCCATCTGTTCTTCAGGCGTTTGTCCAGGCAGCACAGCTCTTTAAAAATATATGTAAACATACATACACGTGTTCTATAGTATACAATGTAGAGCAACAATATGGTATTAACTTGTTAGCATATGCCAATTATTCTGTGAGTGATATACATACTGTAATTTTAAATGCAATCTTAGAGAATCAACATACTTTCCAATAATTCCAGTCTTCTGTGCACATTTTGCACATTGGTTACTGGTTTTTGTGCATGGGCTACAGAGTATGTGGTATGCAAACTTGATCCTCTTCTCACCACACTGGGTACTAGAATTAGTAAACAAAAGAATCAACAGTACTTATTATATTTCATTAATTAGAATTATTATTTTGGTTACTACGTACTTGTCACAACAATTTTCATTGTAAGTACATAAAAAAATAAAATAAAATATTAATATATGAATGACACTTGAAATTTAAAAAAACAACAACCATGAGTTTACGTCATGCTAATAAAGTTTATCTCAGTTAGATCCAAATTACCAGTCCTGAGGAAGTCTATCAGAGAGATGGACGAAAATTTCGTCAGTGTAAGTTATTTAAACTTCTTTTTAACTTAATTTGGATCTAACTGAGATAAACTTTATTAGCATGTGAACTATAGAGATCCGACAAAATTATTCAATCATCCATGAGTTAACAACTTGCAGCTACGCTCATTTTGCTAATGCTAATAAATGCCCTAAAGAGTCGGAGGGTAGAGGAATGGTGGAGAGTGAAGGAGGGGGTAATGGATGAGAAGTGGGAGGTAGAAGTGTTTTGAGGTGAAAGACGGAGATAAGGGATAGGGAGAAAGGCAGGGGAAAGTGGTACAAATTCCTTCAACTGTTATGCAAAGCAACATTTTAATATTTTTGTAAATATTCACATATTTTCAGTGCCCTGAACCCCATTTCTAAATTCAGAGTGGCTATATGCCCGGCAGCCGGCATATATCTGACGGCAGCCGGCATATATCTGACGGCTGCCTGGCACGGTCTTCGATTTCCTAAATGCCCGGCAGTTTTTAATTTTCAGCGTTATCTCAAGTAAACAAGGCTTAGGGTTAGGAACTGCCGGGCATTTAGGAAATCGAAGACCGTGCCCGGCTGCCGGGCATATAGCCACAGCGTTCTAAATTGGTTTGTACTACTCGTGTAAAGTCCTTTATGCCCGACTCCTTTTCTAAACAAGTGCCGCAGAGCGACAGCGCTCACCTGACGGCAGGTGTTCTGATCTCTCTCTCTCTCTCTCTCTCTCTCTCTAACCCACTAAGCATTTTCTGCTATCCTTCCTTTATTCCTTTCCCCGTCAACTACAGCTCTAGAAATTTTTCACAGATGTGCAGTTTTTTAAATTAATAACTTGATGCACGCTGGTTGCATGTATGTAACAAACCCTAACAAATCGCTTTGTGTATGAAGTAGTGCATATGAAATGATTATTCAATCTACAGCATACATCTGCTCGTATTTTACCAGTGTCACGATTTATTAGCTCATCTGACGAAGTCAGATGCAGCTTGTAGAATCGCATGATTGTCCGTCCGTCCGTCCGTCCGCGTGTCAACAGTTGGGCACAAATCTTAACCGCTCGACGTACGGTCACGATATTTGGGACGTCGGGGGGGATCGTGAAAAGGACTCAGGATGACAAATTTGGGGGTCAAGGGTCAAAGGTCAAGATGTGTAAACGGAGGGTGAATATTTCCCCCTTAACTTAAGGTATAAGAGGAAATAAGGAATTGCAGCACAAATCTTAACGGCTCGACCTTAAATCCTTCCCGCGCCTTTATACGCATAGCGTATAGCTACAGGCGCATAGGGCGGTGCCTATCTCCGTTTCTGTAACCCTGAGGCCCTGCAGCTGCTTTCACAGTAAATGCTACAGTAGGGGGTTAGTCCACTGTAGCACTACGGCTCGACCTATGCTTTTAATATTTGGTGTATAGTGTGATGGGCAGAAAACCCATCACCAGTGCAAAATTGGAGGTCGCAGGTCAAAGGGCAGTGGGGGAAAGGTCAGATATCAGACATTTTCTGAGGACATGGTCTAACGGACACAGTGAAAAACTTGTTGGTTTCAGCGCTGACCTACCATTTTCATCACTTTATTGAAAGGAGCATGAAATGTGCTTTCCACTGACGTGCGAAGAGTAAGTGTCTGATAACCTTTTGACCCTCAAGAGGAGGGTTAAACATGGATTCCTGAACTGCCTCAATGATGTCACAGTGTTCTCATATTCATGTCACATCCATAATCTAGAAAGCCAATAAGCCTGGATAGCCGAATGCCTACAGCACACTGAGCACAGGCATCATGGCTCAAAGGTCGTTGGATCAAATCCCATCAGATTTTTTATTATTTACCTGTTTTCTGTATTTTTCTATCTTTATCCATTTAACTATTTTTTCCCCAATTAACGGCTCACAATGCGCATCCAAAAGCTAATTTCTCCAGTACTAGACTAGCAAATACTTTGTGGCATGCATAATCATACTACCTTATGACAAAATAAACTCTAGTTCCTCCCATTTCACTGCGCGTTGTCT